AGAGACTCTGATCCTTATTCCTTCCTAATATAAAGTTCTGTCAGCTGTGTTCACTTGACACACCTAGTCAACCAGCCTTATAAAGAAGGGCTTCATTCTTGAGGGGAAAAAAAAAAAAAACAAAAACCCCAACACTATTATTTAGCTTGATGGAAAGATTCTGCCAAATTACAAAAGAATATAATTTGTAACCCAATAATATGTAATCAGCTGTAAGCAAAAGTTACTATTCCTTTTATCTTTAGGTGAACTCCAGGGATCATTAACAAGCAATGTTGTTGTCGTTGTTATGTGTCGTCAAGTCGGACCCGACTCACAGCGACCCCTCCTTGGGTTTCTGAGGCAGTTATCACTACGGAAGTAGATTGCCCCAACTTCCTTCTGAGGAGTGGCTGGTGGGTTTGAACCGCCAGCTTTCTGGTTAGCAGTCAAGTGCCTTAGGCACTATGCTACCAGAGCTCCCCCTAACAAGCAACAGCAAAAGAATTCCTCAAGCAGGAGACTAATTGCAAATAGAGAAAAAGAATATGAAGGGCACTTGCTTTTGAGATCTAAAACTGCACAGTTCAATACAGTGGCCACCAGCCATGTGTGACTAATTAAAGTTAGATGTAAATTAAATAAAACTAAATAAAACTGAAAATTCAGTTCCTCAGGTGCACTAGCCACACTCCAAACGTTCATTGGCCACGTGTGACTGGTGAATACCATACTGGAAAGCACAGATATAAAACATCTCCAACATCACAGAAGGTTCTATTCAACAGGACTTATCTAGAAGCTAAAAGCACCAGTTCTAAATGCAAGATGATTAATGAGGGGAACAGGGAGAAACCTGTGCATTCAAATAAAGAGCACCCTCTAGAGGATGATGCCTCAGCAATCTTTGCAGTTTGAAAGCATTAATAGTAGCAGCTTGCCTCTCAGCGCAAAGGAAGAGGATGTGAGATCAATATATTCTCCAAAGATTTTTAAAAGAGAAATTCTACACATTAGGAGAATAGGCAACAAATAGAACACTGGAAAGAAATTGTGACCTGAACAACTGACAGTAGGTTAGCTGAGTAGCCCTATATTCTCTACACAGTTTCCTCACCTACAAAAACAGGGGATTCAACAACCATACTTTATACATATAATGGTCAGAAATGAAATTATGTAAAAAAGAGTACTGGCATGTGCACTCATGCATACATCTACCAGGCACATTTTGTGACATTTCTAGAAGTGAATTTCTGCCTTACTGACCCTCATTCAATAGTCTAAAAATGTTACTTTTGATCTTACATGTATAACTAAGGTATAAGCCATGATTAAAAAGTCATAGATCAAGTTTGATAGTACCCTGATAATCACAAAATGAACAGCTGAAACTGTGCACTTGTTCTGGGGCAGTTTGTGCCTGGGCCTGACAATGGTAGAGTTACTTGTAGCCAATCTGCAGGTATGTTGTGCCAAAGACAGATAGAGGGTGGGGCAGAGCGCTGTGTCCAGGGCTGCCACCATCTGAACATAGCCTACAATTTAAAAAAAAAAAAGAAAAAAAAAAAAAAAAAAAAACTATCATTGAGTCGATTCTAACTCATAGCAACCCCCTTTGGGTTTCTGAGGCTATAAATCTTTACAAAAGTAGATTGCCTCGTCTTCCTTCTGCAGAGCAGCTAGAGGGTTCGAACCACTGACCTTTTCTGGTTAGCAGCCAAGTGCCTTATCAACTATGTCACCAGAGCTCCTTAGTCCTACAGTAGGCAGGGGCTATTCCTTGCATGCACCCAGGTCCCACACTGCTGGTCCCATGTGAAGCTGGGGGGCAGCACGGTGCAGGTACATGCACACACTGCCCTGGCACTGCAGGACCCCTGGGCAGCCAGTCGGACCCACCTCATCTGAGTGAGGGATGCACAACTCTTCTGTGCCTGTGGCTTTCACCCCTGCCCTGTGGCATCAGCACAGGGGAGAGATTCAAACAGCCAGAGCATGGGGACTGGCCAGTGAGGTGGCCTCTCTGATCTGGGGTATGTAGAACATACATCTCCTGAGCTGGAGCTGGCTGCCTTGGTGAGGGCTGTTTCTGGGGTGGAGAAAGTGACTTCTTCCTGCATTGGGGAAAGTGCTTTACAGAGTAGGTAAGGAATCCTGCCAGGAGAGGGGCTGCTTTAGAAACTTGAAAGTAGGCTGGTGAGGGTCTGCTTTTGGGAACCAAACCTCCATGTCAACAGGCACCAAGATGAAGACTTAACATTAAATCTATTGGACAGGAAGGGGGAAAAAAAAAAAAGGAAATAAAAGCAAGCAACATGTAAAAAATACTAGTATAGTAAACTTACGAAAAATGCAAAATATGCACTATTTGCATAAAAATATGGTAGATGTTTTCTAATGTCTTTCCAGGCACCCAAGTCAATAATTGTAGATTTTTAATTTCCTGATCTTTTTTGTACATAGAAGAAAATTAGGAAAGGCATTTAACCAACTATCTTTTATAGGATTAGTAAGGTTAAAACTAAAATCCAGCTCTGTACACTAGAATCCCCTGGGGCTCTTAAAAAAAAAAAAAAAAATCAAAGCCTGTGCTCTGACTCATATCAACTGATACTGAGGCTTTGGAATAAGTGCTCAGGCAGCTAGAGTTTGTAAAAGGTCCCTGAAGTGATTCTGATGCACAGTGAGGGTTAAGAGCAACTATACTAGAATATATGCAAGAAAAAAACAAAACATTTTCCTTCTCCTTGTCACACTACCAAAGCTACATCCACACAGAAGACAACTGATGAGGGGAAGGTTAAGTAACTTACAAATATAAATTCTTTGAATTTGATTTTTATGATCTAGGAGAACATCTGCCTGAAAAAGAGCCAAGGAGATAATAGTGAATTCTTCAAATAAGACTTCTGAAATTAATTCCTATGTATTAAAAAATGAATCCTCTGTTAAAATGCTTAAATACTAAGTTGCCCAAGCCCATAATAGGAAAAGAGGTATGCATCAAGAGAAGATTTCTTACAGGCTGAGAGTTAGCTTTCAGAATGAGCCAAGCCATTGTGGAGTAGGCAGCTGTCTGGGAGACGGGACACAAGACATAAGGCAGCTGTCTGTGAGACAGGAGCACAAGAACCACAACGTCTCAAAACCTTTCCACCAACAGCCTGCCAAAAGCAATCCATCCTTCCATCCTTTACTACCTGTCACAAAATTAAAAAAAAAAAAAAAAAAAAAGAAGAAGCCTTTAATGATCCAAAGGTAGGAAGTAGGAAGGTGAAGGGGTTAACTATTTTCCGAATGCCATTAATGAAGATGATGGCTAACATTTACTGGCAGGCTCTGGTTTAACTATTTTACAGATATTATCTCACTGAATTCTCATAAACAATCCTATGAAGTAAATGCTACTATTATCATTTTATGGTTAAGGAAACCAAGACACACAGAGGTTAGAAAACTTGCTCAGAGTCATGCAGCTGGAAATGAAAGAGCAAGGATCTAAACTCAGCTAAGGTTCTTCCAGAGACTGTGTTCTTAACCAGTGTGCTGTCTCTCTTGCTGCTTCGTGTGTGTGTCTATGACTGGCTGAATGTAAGAGGAAGATGTAGATTACCTAGAAGAGGAAGGGAAGGGCAAACAGAGATCAGCACCAGGGCAGCAGGCTTGGAAGGACAAACTGCAGGATGGGAATCTGTGATACGTACATGAGGAAAAGGGAGACTACAAATCTTCTCTAATTCTCTTAGCTTGGACTGCAATGTATATACCATATTTTTGACAAACAGAATTAGGTAAATCAAGCAAAGAACAAAGGAGAGATACTAGATAGTAAACTCACTTAAATTGCTGGAGTCAGGAGGAATTAAATGAGCCAGGCACAGCGAGACTGCTTAACGCTGGTATCAACCCAGTAACATTCAGAGTGAAAGAAACAGCTTTGCCTCTGTAGCAGAGGTTTTTCAGTTGACCAGGAAAGTACATTTTCTTAGTTAGAACAGGCAGCATGAACATCATTGTCACCATAGAAGTATACCCCAAACAGTAAGCAAATATGCTGACATTGTGGTTTATAAACTCAACGCTGAGTTAGCATCCATAAAGGGCTAAAAGAGCTTTTAGGTCTCAAAGCATGACAGAGCAGAGGTAAATGCAGCATCTCTGTAAGTTCAACCAAATTCATTCAAAAGCTAGTCAACCGAACTTTCCCCTACTCCCCACACCTAATTCTAGACACATATTTCAACATCTTTTCTCATTGACACATCCTACTCAAGTAGAAGTGGTAGGAGTTCCAACAAACCACATTTTGACGTCATTGCTACTAAACCATGAAACGAACATGCAGCAGATAGAAGAGAGGCTAAAATAAAGGGGCCATGATGTCTTCACACTAGACAATAAAGCTGGCAGTAAATTAAGGGTTGGCTACAATCTGGGATAAAAATAAAGTTGTAATGAAAAGAAAAAAAAAAAAAAAAGAAAAAGGCACATGTCAGGATGACCTTATCACTTCTTGCTTTTACTACGTGTTGTTAAACAACAAACATAACAAGTCAGCAGGTCTATCATTACAGGGACCAAATATAGCCTTTTTAATATGTCAACCAAACATAAAAGCAAGATACTGCTGATTTAGAAATGGATATCTTGTGCTCATTTAGTGTTTGTAAAAGCAGACTAATCCTATCATTGGGATCTAGAGCTTCTCATAAGTATGCTCAGGTCTCAGAACTGCTGTGACAAGAGTAATATAATAAAGGACTCGTTGCAGAAAGATGACATGAAAGATTTAAAGTGCTTTCCAGCTTATGAAGAATTTTCTCAACTCATAAAAGTAAACTGAAGCCTTTTTCTTGGCAAGACAAGTTACTTAGTAATAGGGAAGACTTTGTAATGCATATCTGGACTATAAAAGCAAATAGTTGAGAGCCTTTCCTAGAGATGAGTAAAAGGTAAAACACTTCATGGACACTAGAATATTGGTAAGAAACAAGAATCCAAAACTTTTTAAAGGATACGGTCTGTACCAGGAAACAATGTTCTTCCAGTCAACAGCTCGGCCATTATGCATCCCACTGACCAAATATCAACTGGCAAAATTAAAGAGAAATAAAAGTACACACAATGTCACTATTATTATACTTGGCCATAAATAGAACCATACCTAAAGGAGAAACATTTAATATTTAAGACACTTGAAATTCAAGAATAATACCCCCTACCCCCACCCCAAGAAATAAACCAGCTTAAGACCTTCACACCACTAAAGGGCCTCAAAGGTGGGGTGACTCAAAACACAATTAAGGTAAAAGAAATAAGCTGCTCACAAAAGGGCAACAGATTCTTATTGGTAAAAGGGTAGATTTTCCCAAGAATACTGAGGGTCTAGGACTAGAATTATAAACCCATCGCCTTCAGGTAGAAGTACTCAAAGAAGATCTGAATAAATAAAAACCCAATTGCTAAATCAAAGCATATTAAAACTGGGTATAAAATCTCATTGCCCATTTGACCAACTGAAATACTTTCTATTTGTAGGCTTTAAAAGGATTACTGAGGGAAGGAAAGATGCCCCTCCTACCTCCACCATCTCTACTCCTAAGAATACATAATACACCCAACATAGTATTAATAAGGCACTGGATAATCAAGGCAAAGTAATACCTGTCTGGTTGTAATGCATCCAGTTCAGCATGATCTCAGGAGCCCTGTACCACCTGGTGGCTACGTAACCTGTCATTTCGTCATCTGTATGTCGAGCCAGTCCAAAATCCAGGATCTAAGAAAGAGAAGATAAATCAGACACTGGAAGAGACAAACTGCTAAGACTTATAAAATAGGCAGGAAAATAACTCCAGTGCCTTGTAAAAAGGGAGAACAATAAAGCACTTCCATACAGAGACTCCCAGATCCTTGCTTGGAATGCATAGTAAATACACAGCATGAAGTTAAAAAAACTAAATTACAAAAAACAAAAATAGTACTCTGAGGTATTTATCTAAGAGAAATGAAAACATATGCCCATACAAAGACTTGTACATGAGTATTTACAGCTGCTTTATTTACAATAGCCTGAAACTGAAAACAACCCAAATGTCTATCAATAGGTGAATGAATAAACAGATTGTGGTATGTTTATAAAATGAACTATTACTCAGCAATAAAAAGGAATAAATTATTGATACACACAATAATACAAATACAGCTCAAAGATGTTATGCTAAGCAAAACTCAGACACAAAAAATATACTTATTCTATAGATAGGAAACTCAAGAAAAGATAAAGTCCGTCTATAGTGTCAGAAAGATGATCAGTGGTTGTCTAAACTAGGATTAAGGGTAGCATGCATGGTGGTAGATATATGAATATAGGAAATTTGAAAAGATGTACACTTAAAATGGTACATTTTATTAGATGTAAATCACATTTCAAAAAAGTTGGGCAAGAAACAAAACAAAATTTTCCAGAGTTACTTGCTTTATATAGATAATTAATTCACTTATCTAGTATTTGAGTTGCTATTGTCAATTTGACCCCATGCTGATAGGTCTTAAAAGAGTATAACACTCAAAGCAGACCTTTTTTTTACTAGTTAAGCTAAACTACTGTTTGTTTTTAAGAAGACTCTAGAGGTTATTACTGGTTTAAGGTTTAAAGATTTTCTCAGGGCAATAGTTTCAGGGGTTTGTCTACCCTCCATGGCTCCAGAAAAGTCTAGAGTCCATGAGAATTTGAAATCCTGTTGTATACTTCCCCCCTTTGATCAGGATTCTTATTAGGAATCGTTGATCAAAATGTTCAGTAATGATAGTCCCACTATCCAGTTCTTCTAGTCTCATGGTAAAGGAGGCCGTTGTTCATGGAAGCAATTAGTCATATGTTTCATATCCTCTTCCTCTTCCTGATTCTCCTTCTTCTGTTGTTCCAGGTGAACAGAGAGAACAAATGTTGTGCTTTCGATGGCCACATTCAAGCTTTTAAGACCCCACACGCTACACAAAGAACTAGGAGGTAGAACAGAAGCACTAACCATGTGAGTAAGCCGATTACCTGAGATGTCTGATAAAACCATGACCCTAAAGCTCCAAACCAAGGAACTAAATACCATGAGGCGTTTGGCTATACAAAAGAAGCCTTAATAGCTCTCTTTTTTTGTGTGTGTCATTAAGGTAAATATATCTATCACACAACTTTTGCCAATTCAACTTTTTAAAGGTGTACAACTTAACTGACAGCAATTACAACATTTGGCTATGCAACCTTACCTTTAATCAATGCAGTTTTACCATCACCATTAACAACCCCCTTTCCCCCTCCCTCTTATCCCTGGTAACCATGAATAAACTTTGGTCTCTATATATTCGCTTTTTCTTTCTTTTTATGTAAGTGAAGTCATACAATTTTTGGCCTTTTGTGATTGGCTTATTTTACTCAGTATAGTATCTTCATGATCCATCCATATTGTGCCATGTATCAAGACTTCATCTCTCCTACTCACTGAGTAGTATTCCATTGTATGTATGTACCACATTTTGTTTATCCATTCATCTGTTGGTGGGCATTTAGGTTGTTTCCACTTTCTGGCTGTTGTGAATAGTGCTGCAATGAACATTTGTGTAGGAGTCTCTCCCTCTCTCGCTCTTTTTTTTTTTTTTTAAAGTTTATTTATTGTGATTTGGCTGCAAATTTACAAAGTAGATTCATTTTACTCTCCACAGTTCATGTACATTTGGTTTCACAGCCCCAATTACAATCCCAACAATAAAAAGTTCTCCTCTCATCTCCTCCCTGTGACTACCCCTTCCCCGTGCCCTTCTTATCTATGCATTCCTGTCTGTCCAGCTTTCCCTCTATGCCAATGCTGCCCATCTGATGTCTCATGATTGATTGATCTAAGGGGTACATCTCCCTGAGGTAGGTGGGTATATGTATCTCCCTGGGATAGGTGTTCTGCTTATAGGCCTTTTTATTGTTTGGCTGAGAGCTAATCTATGGAAGTGAGTCCAGTTATAGGCCCAAAGGATAACCCACGGCTATAGTCACAGGGGTTCCGTTCCACCAGTGTCTAACCAACCAGTAATCCTGTTCTATCAGTACCCGGCTGTTTTGATTACTATAGCTGTAGAGTATGTTTAAAATCAGGAGGTGTGGGTCCTTCTACTTTGATCTTCTCTTTCAGCACCATTATAAGCTATTTGGGGCCTCTTGCCTTTTCATACAAAGTTGAGGATTGTTTTTTTTCTATTTCTATAAAGAAAGCTGCTGGAATTTTGAATGGGATTGCACCGAAGCTATAGATTGATTTGGGTAGTACTGATATCTTAAGAATATTAAGTCTTCCAATTCATGAACATGGAAGATCTTTACATTTATTTAAATCTTCTTTAATCTCTTTCAGCAGTGTTTCAAAGTTTTGATTGTAGAAGTCCTTCACATCCCTAGTTAGACTTATTCTGAGGTATTTCATTTTCTTAGCTGCTATTGTAAATGGAATTGTTCCCTAATTTCTCTTCCAGATTTCTCATTGCTGATGTATAGAAATCTAAATGATTTTTGTTTGCTGACTTTGTACCCTGCAAGTTTGCTAAACTCCTCTGTTAGCTCTAGACATTTTCTTGTGGACACTAGGATTTTCTCTAATAGTATCATGTCATTTATGAATAGAGATAATTTTACTTCTTTTCCAGTCTCCAATCTGGATAACTTTTATTTATTTTTCTTGTCTTATTGCTCTGGCTAGGATTTCTAATACAATATTGAACAGAAGTGGTGAGAGTGGACACCCTTGTCTTGTTCTTGATTTCAAGAGGGAGGCTCTCAGTCTTTCTTAAATATAATGTTGGCTGTTGGCTTTTCATATATACCCTGAATCATACTGAGGAATTTCCTTCTATTTCAATCTTCTTTACAGAGTTTTCATCAAGAAAAGGTTTTGGATTTTAACAAATTGTTTTTTCTGTATTCACAGAGATCATGTGGTTTTTTTCCTTTGTTCTACTGATGCGGTCTACTAGGTTGACTGATTTTTTAATGTTGAACCATTCCTTCATTCCTGGAGTAAATCCTACTTGGTCATGGTGTACAACTCTTTTAATATTTTGTTCACTATTATTTTGTTGAGGATTTTTTTGCATCTATATTCATAAGAGATATTATCCTATAGTTTTTTTTTCTTCTGGTGTCTTTGTCTGGTTTTGGTATCAGGGTTATGTTTGCTTCATAGAATATATTATGGAGTATTCCTTCCTTCTCTATCTTTTGGAATAGTTTAAACTGTACTGGTATCAATTGTTCTGTAAATGTTTAGTGGAATTCCACAGTGAAGCCCTCTGGTCCCTTTTTTCTGTTGCAAAGTTTTTGATTACTGATTTGATCTCTTCACTTGTTAAAGGTCTGTTGAGACATTCTATTTCTTCTTGAGGCAGTTTGGTTAAGTTGTGTGCTTCTACAAATCTGTCAATCAATTTCATCTAGATTTTCCAGTTTGTTGCCATACAGTTGTTCATAACGTTCTGTCCTAATTCTCTTTATTTCTGTCAGATCAGTGGTAATGTCCCCCCTTTCATTTTTCATTTATTTCCATTTCTTTTGTCAGTCTAGCTAAAAAGGTTTGACAATTTTATAAATCTTCTCAAAGAACCAACTTTTGATTTTATTGATTCTAATCTTGTTTTGTTTTTCAATTTTACTTATTTATGCTCTGACTTTTTTGTTTCCTTTCTTCTGGTAGGTGTAGGTTTAGTTTGGGGACTATATGCATTTCAGATAAAAAGTTGTAGCTTTATAAACCCATTTTCTGTACGATTTTGCCCAGATGGTCAAACATATAACTTCTACCCATTTCAGCTCTCTAACCTATTTTCTGGTTGGCATTCTGGAAGCTCAGTAAGTAAAAAAACCACCACTCTCTTTTTAATAGTCTTTTTCCTTTTTATTTTTTAATTTTATTGTGCTTTGGGTGAAAATTTACAGAGCAAAATTTGTTTTACATTCAACAGTTCATGTACGTTTAATTTCGTGTCCCAATTACCATCCCTGACCATAACAAACTCTCCTCCCATCCCATCTGTGTGGCCACCCCCTCACTATGCCTTTTTAACTATGCACTTCTGTCTGGCCAGCTTTTCCTTTATGTGAATATTGTCCTTCTGGTGCCCCATGGCCAATGGCTCTAAGAGGTGTATGTCGCTAGAGTAGGTGGGTGTACCACCTTGGGATAGGTGTTCCGCACTTAATTAAGTCTTTCTATTGTTGGGCTGAGGGCCAATCAACAGAAGTGAGCCGAATTCTAGGCCTGAAGGGTAACCCAGGGCCACAGTCTTGGGAGTTCCACCAGACTCTAGCCAGCCAGTAATTCTGGTCATTTTTGTGCTTTTGGATTTTGTTGCGCATTTTTCCTCCCACTCTATCCAGTATCTCCAGGTTTGATCCCTTTCCAAGTGGTTGGCATTGGTAGCCTGGCACCATCCAGTTCTTCTGGTCTTGGGGTCCATCATATCCTTGGACTGTTTCCAGATGCCTTTGATTTTCACCACTCTTCTTTGCTTCAGATAAGAGAAGACCAATAGTTGCATCTTAGATGGCCACCTGGAAGCTTTTAAGACCCCAGTCACTACTTATCAAAGCATATTGTGGAACAAGACTTTTATGTACTATGTTGTGCCAATTGAGTTTGGTGTCCCCTGAGACTATGGTCCTGAGTTGGCAGGCACAGTGATTCTTTCTCCACAACCTCACGAGCATTTGTTATTTTCTGTCTTGTTGTATGGTTATCTCAGAGAGGTTACTCCAACTGTGTCTTCTGTTCCTTCTGTAATGTGTGTGGCTAGTTTTGTACATGATCTTCTCACTTGTCTATGCATTTATCTGTAGCCTGGTGTTTGGTATTAGTGTAACGCAGTATTGTGCATACACTATTATTTGTCTCTGTTATCTTTATCTTATGTGCATGTTTCAGTGTCCTTCCTTTCCCCAATGTCATCATGCTGGTCACAGACTCTTTCCATATTATGCCTCCTTCACCCAAATCAACGTGTGACCCCCAACTAGTCCAAAATTTTCCCTCTTCTCATCCCTGGTAACCTACAAAGTGAGTTTTCTTCCCTAAGTAAACCTTTCTTGACTTTTTACAATAATGGGCTCATACAATATTTGTCCTTCAGCAATTGACTTATTTCACTCAGCATAATGTCCTCCAAGTCCATCCACATTGTGAGATAATTTGCACATTCTTCACTACTCTTTAATGTAACATAGTATTCCATTGTGTGAATGTACCATAGTTTAGTTATGCATTCATCAGCTGATGGGCATTTAGGTTGTTTTTATCTCTTTGCTATAGTGAATTGTACTGTGATGAACATGGGTATGCATATGTCTGTTTGTGTCCAGTCTCTGTAGGATATATTCCTAGTAATGGAATTGCTGGACCAAATGATATTTCTTTTTCAGTTTTTTAAGGAAACGCCATACCATTTTCCACAATGGTTGTACCATTTTGCAGTCCCACCAGCAGCATATGAGAGTTCCAATCTCTCCACAACCTCACGAGCATTTGTTATTTTCTGTCTTGTTGAACTATGCTATTATTGCTGGGGTGAGATGATATCCCATTGTTGTTTTGATTTGCATCTCTCTTAATTCACCACTGTCTCTTCATCTTACCTTTAGCTCACAGTCTTCATTCACAGCTAGATTACTAGGCTTTAGGTCCTAGGAGGCAAGTACGGAGAGGACAGGGTTAACTTTATGATGCAGAGTATGTTCTTTACCTATAGGTAATAATGAGGACCCATGAGGGACCTACCTTCCTCGTTCAAGATACCTTGTTAAATAAAATTAAGACTTTATCTACCTATAAACAAACAATATCTATCCTATAGTCAATATTTAGTCCTAATTAGCCTTGAATAGATACAAACTATACATCTCATTCTTTAATCAATTCAAACCTAAAGCAAAGTTGCAATCAACCAAAATTTTAGTTGCTGAAGTATTAGTATCTTTGCTAAATGCCATTCTTCTACCCCACCTCCCCAAAATAATTAATCAAAGTCAGAATACATACCCTGTGAATTATGTCAGCTGAATGTATATACTGTGAAAAAGAACAAAGTGAGTAATAAAACAAAAACTACCTCTAACATCCCACTGTCATATTATGTAACATATTTGCAGCACATTTTTATTATTTAATAAGAACTGCCGAATTTAACACTAGGATTAGAAAGGAAAACAAAGAATTATTAGTATTCTATACATTTATCATTTATTGCAACTGATTTCCACTCATTTAAGCTCTCCAACTTATTTTCTGGTTGGCACTCTGAAACTCAATAAGGACTCAAAGCTGCTAACTATCAAAGATGGTTTACTTTTAAAGCACTGTATCTATCAAGTTCATAAATAAATTAGCTTCCTTGAGAATTTTTTAAAATCTCAACACCCTATCAACCAGGTATTAAATTATATCAAGAAATTATTATTTTTTAGATGTAATAATGAAGAGTTTTATCATGAGATATAAATATCAAAGACTCTATGGATGGAATAATATGATGTCTAGACTTGCTTTAAAATAATTTGGGGTTGGGGAAGATGATATAAACAAGACTGGTCATATGTTGATAATTGTGGATGCCAATTGAATATGGGGTTCATTATACTATGCTCTCTCCTTGTGATTTTGTGACTGTTTTGAAATTTTCCATGAGAAAACAAACAAAACAAAAAGTTTAGGCCCTCAATGAAAGGGAGAAAAGGAAAGAAAGAGTTCATTTCTTAAAATTATTATTGATACTGTCTGTACCTTTAGACCTCGGAGAATTTGGTAGATAAGGAACTGTACATGGTCATCCGTAAGTTTCTGACATTTCACAATGTTGTTCAGATCTGCCCCCATGAGATGGGTCACCAGATACCTAGAAATCAATGGAGAGTTACACAATAATCCAGAACCCCAAGAAAGTGCTCACCTTCACAAGACTTTTAAGTTTTTAAGGGAAAGGTCACAAAGAAATACCACAATATCAGCAAAAAAGCTTAAAACTACTCATGGAGGATTCATTACCAATATACTATTCTAATTTTACCAACTGCCATCTATCTTTCTAAAAATTGTTATACTTATTCCTACTTGGTGTATCTTTTCCCAGGTTCTTGAATGAAAAAGAAAAGAACAAAGATGGAGATTAGAAAGATATAATGTGCTAGTATCAGTTTTCTTAAAAATATCATTATTGGATGAGAAATATACAATGTAACTAAGTTGTTGTTGTTGTTGTTATGTGCCGTCGAGTCGGCCCCGACTCATAGCGACCCCTCCTTGGGTTTCCGAGGCAGTATCGCTACGGAAGTAGGATTGCCCAACCTTCCTTCCAAGGAGTGGCTGGTGGGTTTGAACTGCCAGCCTTCTGGTTAGCAGTCAAGTGCTTTAGCCACTATGCTACCAGAGCTCCTGTAACTAAGTATATGGCCATAATAAAGTATTTTCTATTTTTAAATCTGCCATTTTCACCTCAACATTCTAAGATATAGGTTTTAAAATAGGAGTATCTTTAAATATTCAAACTACAATTCTCCTTTTTCAGGAACTGATAAAAGGATACTGTTCACAGACTGTATTCTTACATTTACCTTAAAATAGGGAGAAATACATTTTATCTATAGGATGAAGCATTTCAGATCTTCTCCTTATAGGTGTGGTGCTGGGTATTAATTCTATCTTTATGTGGTAAGAATAGGGAATAATTACATTCAAGTCCAACAGGTTCACCACAGATACTCTAGATACAACACCTTCACCCATTCATTACTGTATCATACAGATATAACGCAAAAATGCAAACGCAACCACCACTGTGGAGTCAGATCCGACTCATAGCGACCCCTCCTTGGGTTTCTGAGGCAGTAGCACTATGGAAGTAGATTGCCCAACCTTCCTTCCAGGGAGTGGCTGGTGGGTTTGATGCCAGCCTTCTGGTTAGCACTCAAATACCTTAGGCACTATGCCAATATGGGAATATAAAAATTAGATCAGTATTAAAGAGACTAAATTTTAAAAAATAAGGACAAGTTTTATGTATTATTTAAGAATCATTCTCCATTTCTGAGGTTGGGTAATAATATGTCAGGTGAGCAATAAAAATGCTTGTATCATTTTATTTTTTATAAACTTGGGAGAAAAGCAATCAGGCCAGTATATTTCTATTTATTATTAATGCATTAAGGAGCTCTGGTGGGGCTGTGGTTAAAGTATCGTGCTGCTAACCAAAAGGTCAGTGGTTTGAACCCAAAAGCTACTCCATGAGGGAAAGATAAGGCAGTCTGCTTCCATAAAGATTTACAGCCTTGGAAACTGTAATGGGACAGTTTTACTCTGTCATCTAGGGTCACTATGAATTGGAATTGACACAATGGCCGTGGGTTTGATTTGGTTTGGATGAATACATTATATGCATAAACATGATCTTTCTTTACACATACTGGCGCCCTCCACCCCACCACACACACTGTACTTCTTTCCTCTAAAAGGAATTGTTTTTCTCTGTCATAATTTCCCTATTGGGTTGCATGGGCAGTTCTCAATTTCATGAAGATCACTAAGACTTAGCCTAGTTGTAACCTTGAGGTAAAATGTTTATCATTTCATATTTTTAAAACTTGCTTATTTATACTGCCTTGAAAAAAGGGTGAACTCAATGTAATGTGAAGTGTAAACTGGATTTTCTGAATTGTTTGCATAAAGGTAGTTTTAAAATATGTTTCAAGCTCAATATAACAGAACCAAAGGCAGGTAGCACTTATTCTGAACAGTTCATGATGTGTTTATCTCATGCACTCTTCCTGACAATACTTTAAGTCCCATTAGTATCCTGATATCATTGATAAGGAAACTGAAACAAAACAAAGATAAGTAAGTGGTTGAAGGTCAAAAGGAGTAGTAGTGTCAGGAGGCAAATTCAATACTATCTGACCCCAGAAACCGTGATCTTAATCATGGCATACATTGCCTCCAAATTCTTCCTGTTGACCCAGAATTTAAGTCAAGAGAATGATGTTTGCAAAAAAAAGTTTTATAAATGTCACATAATCAGGGAAGAATTATCTCCAGAGAATTCCTTACCAATGTTGTGTTACTGTCAGGTGCCATGGAGTTGGTTCTGATTCATAGGGACCCTACGTACAACAGAACAAAACACTGCCCAGTCCTGTGCCAGCCTCACAATCATTGCTATACCTGAGCTCATTGTTGCAGCTACCATGTCAATCAATCTCATTGAGGGCCTTTCCCTTTTTCATTCACTCTCCACTTTACCAAGCATGATGTCTTTCTCCAGGGAATGGTCCCTTCTGACAACAAGACCAAAGTACATGAGACAAAGTCTGCTGGCCATTCTCGCTTCCAAGGAGCATTCCGGCTGCACTTCTTCCAGGATAGATTTGTTAGTTCTTCTGGCAGTCCATGTTATCTTCAGTATTCTTTGCCAACACCACAACTCAAAAGCATCAACTTTTCTTCTTCAGTCTTCCTTATTCATTGCATATGAGGCATTTGAAAATATCATAGCTTGGGTCAGGTGCACCTTAGTCTTCAAAGAGACATCTTTGCTGTTCAGCACTTGAAAGAGGTCTTTTGTAGTAGATGTGCCCAGTGCAATATGTCATCTGAAGTTTTGACTGCTGCTTCCATTGGTGTTGACTGTGGAACCTAAGTAATAAGAAATCTTTGACAACTTCAATCTTTTCTCCATTTATTGTGATGCTGCTTATTGGTCCAGTTGTGAGGATTTTCATTGACTTTATGTTGAGATGTAATCCATACTGCAGACTGTAGTCTTTAATCTTCATCAGTCAGTTCTCCAAGTCATCTTTACTTTCAGCAAGCAAAGTTGTGTCGTCAGCATATCGCAGGTTGTTAATGAGTCCTCCTCCAACCCTGATGCCACTCTCTTCTTCATACAGTCCAGTTTCTCCGATTATTTGCTCAGCATACAGACTGAATAAGTATGGTGAAAATATACAACCCTGTCATACACCCTTCATTACTTTAAACCATACAGTATCCCCTTGGTCTGTTCTAACAACAGCCTCGTGGTCTATGCACAAGTTCCTCATGAGCACAATGCAGTGTTCTGGAATTTCCATTCTCCTCAGTGTTATCCATAACTTGTTTTGATCCACACAGCTGAATGCTTTGCATAGTCAATAAAACACAAGTAAATATCTTTCTGGTGTTCTTTGCTTTTAGCCAAGATCCATCTGACATCAGCAATGATATCCTCCATTCCACGTCCTCTTCTGAATCCAGCTTGCACTTCTGGAAGTTCTCTGTCAATATACTACTGCAACCATTTTTTTTTTTAATTTTATTTTTATTTGGGTGAAGATTTACAGAGTAAATTCACTTTTCATACAGCAGTTCACATAATATACTTTGTCTCATGTCATTGACCAAAATTTACAATGCAACAGCTCCCCTCCCACTTCCTCCCCATAGTTACCTCTTCCCAGTGT